GAGAGTTTCGTTCCAAGAGTTGGACTTCAACTCGGACCGGTATCATGAACAATGCCAGGAACAACCTCAGCCTCCAGACCAGCCATCAATCGAGGGGTCCCTGACGGGCAAAAGGGTGTAAGGTTTATTGTTTTTCCTTCTCTTTTTCATTCCTTTTATTTACTTAATAAAATGTTCCTTTCTTTTTGCCATCTTTTATAATTGCCCAATAAATGTTCATATTTAAGCAAATCGCTGTTGTCGAGCTTTCTCTTAAATGCATTTAACCAAATCTGAAAAAAAACCGCTCGGATACACACTGTGATCCAAGACATCATCCTAATCTAGTCTGGTCTATACGTGTCTCCACAACCACAGCAATGTGGTGGACTCTTAAGTTAATGTTAAAATGATCAAGCAAGCCACTCAGTTGTATATAACTGCTACAAAATCTCAAGAAAGGAATGAAGCTAGGTGGGTCCACCCAACATCAATCTACATGCTGAAAACAACAATTGTTCCCGTCAACACTGAAGCTCTCTCTACTAACAGTCTTGTACCAAAATTGGAAGAGCAACCCCCCACCCGCCAGATCAGTCAGCAGAGGCCTGACAATCATTCACTCAGAGTTATATCTTGCAGGCAATGTCATAGAACCCACCAACAGGTCATTCCTAGATTGGACTTAGCCTCCACGATGACTGTAGTGTGCTCACTCCTACTGATACTGTCATGCACACATGCATCCGCATCAAGCAAAGATGAAGTTAAGCAGGTTTTTGCCTTTTGTTGGTTCCCTCACCACGTGCCACAGATCCAGTTCAGCAGCAATATCCTTCTGAATATGACCAGCTTGATCCACCACACTGGAATTGGACATTCTGAATGCTCGCCCTCTCACTCAGTACTTCCTCCAAATGGTGTTCAACACGGAGCTGTACTGTTTCATCACCCAACAAGGATAGTAAGCGGTAATCAGCAGGAGGTTTCTTTATCTACGTTTGAACTGACGCCAAGGCTGTGGGATCACTAAGCCTTATCTAATGCATTCTATTTCTGCTGCTTTGCGTGCAAGCTATCATGTATGGTGACATAGTGGTATAGATGAGGCAGAGTGGCTCTAATCTTCAACATAGATGCCAGTCTTCAGCTAATTTGATTAATTCCTTGAGATGTCAAGAAAGAACTGAAGAGACTGGATACTACAAATGCTATGGGCCCTGACAACATCAGGATAGCAATAGTACTAAAGACTTGTGCTCCAGACCTAGCTGCATCCCTAGCCAAGGTACTCCAGTATAGCTACAACACTGAGACCTACTCAGCAACATGGAATATTGTCAACTACATTTTGTCCTGTTTTGTCTACAGAAAGCAGGACACATTCAAACAATCTTTAATTATCAGCAGCATTGGAAGATATCATTAACAATGTTATCAAGTGGCACTTTCAAATTGTCACTGAATTGGAGACAAAAACAGAAACTGCAGGAAAACTTCAACAGGTCTGACAGGATCTGTGGAGAGAAAGCAAAGTTCATGTTTCGAGTCTCCAAGGCATATTGGAGAGTGAGTATCACTGCCCAATCTCAGTTTGAGATCCTGGTCCTCAAAGACTCTCTTCCTCAGTCAGCCAAAGTCTGAGTATGCAAGAAGATATGCTGGTGGATAATGCAACAGAGGAAGCAACTTTCTCAAGGGAAAACCTGCACAAGGAGGAAGGCACAGAACATGACTTCAAAATCACATGCTACATAAAAAGTCTAATAATTATAGTGCAACATATTTTAACTGTACTGCTCAGCCTGCTAATGAACCTTGAAGTCCTTCATTTTCTCAATCTTCTCCAAAGGATTTAAATTATACTTGTGCAGCTGTATGGTTTAACAGTAGCCATTTCTCACTGGACAACAAACATTGCAAAGTAATTGCATAGAAAAAGTATGAGGAACCCAATCTTATTATTATAAAAATAAATACATCAACAAGTCAGTTGATTTTGCTCAAAGAAGAACAATCCAATTGCTGTACCCTCACCAGCACCATCTGTGATCAGGTAATTTAGCAGTTTTGAAATTAAATGCTAGATCTTCCTGGTCTGTAAATTTCAGTACAAAAATAAGACGTGTTTCTTTACTGAGCCATTAATTCATCAAATCTTAATGTACTTCAGACATATATTAACCTGGGTGTTATTAATTGCTGTTTTCAATTATGTTTCATAGTTTTAGCACATTCAGCCACTTAGTTGAGCAGTAAATTTGTTAAGACTTTGAAAAACACAATCAACTTTGCTCCAAAACAACCTAAAGCTAGCAGATTCTAAACTAAACTAAATAAGACTCAACAAACATCTGTACAACAGGCCCCCTGAACTGTCACGGGAAGATAAAGAATTAAATATGCAACCACGTTTCAAAGAAGTGTCAGAATAATAAGTAATACTCCGTTATTTTAACTACCCAAATATTAACTAAGATAGTTTTAGTGCATTACATAGAGAAGAGACAAAACTCTAGTTACATTCAGGAGAACATTTTTAGCCAGAAAAGCCCCAAAAGGGAGGGGGCAAATTTCGGCCTAATATTCAGATATGAGTCTGGTCAGATGGAAGGTGTCACTGTAGGGGAGCATTGGAGATAATGACCATTGCTCAGTTAGGTTCAGGATAATTATAGAAAAAGATAGGGATGGGCTGGACTAAAGTTCTAAGCTGGGGAAAGGCTAATTTACTAAGATAAGGTACAATTTAGTTCAAGTGGACTGGGAGCATCTACTTGCAGATAAAACTGTCAGACCATTGGGAGGCATTCAAGGAGGAAATAGCAGGAGGATAGAGCAAACACTTTCCCATAAAAACAAAAGATTAGGACCAAAACCAGAGAACCCTGGAAGTCAAAGGATATAAATGTTAGGATTAAGGAAAAAAGGAAAAGCTTATGGCAGATACCATGGTCTCAAAACTATAGAGGATTATAAAAAGTGTAAGGGTGAACTTAAAAATAAAATTAGGAAAGCTAAGAGAGTGCATAAGAAAACATTGATGGGTAGTGTAATGGAAAATCCAAAAGGTTTTTATTTTCTAAATTTAGAAGCTGCAAAAGAATAACTAGGGAAAGAGGAGGGCCCATCAAGGTCATGTGTGTGTGGAAGAGGAAGATACTGACACAGTCCTGAATAATTATTCTGCATCGGTATTCATAATGGAAAAGGACAATGCAGTTATGGACATCAGGGTGGAGGAATGTTAAATAAGAAGAAATTAACAGCGAGCAGGGGGAGAGAGAGAAAGGGAGAGAGAGAGATAGAGAGAGAGAAAGAGAGAAAAAGGAAATGCTAATGGGTTAAGGAGCTTTAAAGGCAGATAAACCTGCAGGCCCAGATGAGATATATTTCAGGTTGAGGGAGACAAGGTAAGACTGATCAGGGACCCCCAGCAACATCAAATCCTCTCTGATCACAAGTGAGGTTCCAGAGGCTAACATTGTCCCATTATTAAAGAATGGACGAAGGGATAGACAAGCAAATTACAGTCCAGTATGGTGATGTTTCATAAATTTGATCTTTCTCTTTGAGGTGGTAACCAGGAATGTCATTATAGGCAATGCATTTGAGGTAGCCTACATGAACTTTAATGAGGCTTTTGATAAGATCGCTCATTGCAGATTGACCAAGATAACAAGAACCCAAGGAATCCACAGCAAAGTGGCTTGGTGCATTCAAATTGGTTCAGTGACAGGAAGCAGAGTATGAATGGTAGAGGGATGTGCCTATGACAGGAAGTCTGTTTGCAGTGGGATTCCACAGGGTTCAGTGCTGCTGCCCTTGATGTTTGTGATGTATATTAATGATTTGGACTTAAATGTATGGGAAACGATCAAAAAGACCATGGATGCCATGAACATTGATAGAGTGGTAAATAGTAAGAGGGATAGCCTTAAACCACAGGAGGATATCAACAGAGTGGTTGAATGGAATTCAGCCTGCACAGGAAAAGTGAGAGTTAATGGGTGTGGGGAGGCATTATCTAACTTCACACTATAAATAGTAGGGACCAGGGAAGTACTGAACATCAGAGGCCTTTGTATACATATCCACAGATCCCTGAAAGTAGAAAGGCACGTTGATAAGGTGGTTAAGACAACATATGGGATACTTGTTTTTATTACAGAGGCACAGACTACAAGATCAGATGGGTTATGCTGGGACTGTATATAAAAAGTTAGGCCACAAGTGGAGACTGTGTCCAGTTCTGGCCACCACATTATTGGAAGGATGTGATTGAGTGCAGAGGATATCTGTCAAGATGCTATCTGGACTTGAGGATTTGGGATATAAGGAAACATTGGAGGCTGGAGTTATTTTCCTTGAAGTGGTGAAGGTTGAGAGAGGACCTGAAGGAGATGTACAAGATTAAGAGGGACATAGAAAAGATGGATAGAGAGGCACTTTTTCCATTAATAAAGGAGTCATTAATCAGGGGCATAGATTTAAGGTAAGAGGTAGAAGACTAGAAGGAGAGTTGAGGAGAATTTGTTTCACTCAGACAGTGGTGGGAGTCTGAAAATCACTGCCTGAAAAGGTTATTCAGTCTGAAACATCTCATAACACTACAGCAGTATTTAGATGTTTAACTGCATTGACATAGTCTCCAGGACAATGGGCTAAGAGCTGGAAAATGGAATTGATGTAGTCAGTTGTCAAGTGATATGATCATGATAGGCCCATGGCCTCCTTCTGTTCTGTAAATGTCTATGAGTCCATAGATCTTTCCCTAGCACTTCAATTGCACTCATGATCTAGATTCTAGTTTCAAGCAAAATATTTTAACCAAATGCAGCTGAAATATTTGACACGAAATTTATTACAATGTGGTTACTTGATCAATTTTAAAATAGAGTCTTGTGATTTTTCATTATAAAGGACTATAAAACTTAGAAAATAATCAAACATGTTAAAGTGTTTCATGACACTAAAAGTCAAGCTAAAATCATTCAAAATGATTTTTGGCCAATACTCACTGATAATGAATGTTGCACTCCTGTTATCTCTGCACTCCACAATGTCACATCGTTCCAGGATTATTACCTCAGCAAGGTCTGATGTCTGCAAGAAATGAATGAGAAAAATTAAAAATCCGAGCAACCCCACTAAACTCCTAGATGAATGCCCATTGACAATATGCAGCAGCCATTGATTTAGTCCACCTCTCTTGCAATCAAATTAACAACAGGGATTAGAACAAACCTATAAGAGGGTAAAGTCAACAGACAAATTCATTTGCTGCTTATTGTTCAAGGGGACTTTGTTTCACTTATGTAATTTTAATAAGACTTAATAAAAAAGATAATTTTCAAGCAAGAAATTGACATTGTTGGTTAAAAATAAGCATTTGCTAATACAGAACTTGCATACTACTGATAAGAGACATTTTGTCAAAGTTTTTCATCATATACATATCAGGAAAATTTGCAAGATACTGATGTAAAGGAAAAACAATATCTATACTCTGTGAGAGGACAGTGCTGATTGGTTAGCAAGCGTATCTGATCGGCTGAGGCAGTGCTATGGAGAACACACCAATTAGATGATGACCAACACTTAACTGGCAAGATTTATTTAAAGTTTCAAACAGGCAGCTTCACTTTGACAGGTCACGGTATTGCCCTGAGAAATGAACCAGAGAATGGCTGCACGTATTTAGATGAAGTGAAATAAGCACAATGTGCGTATATGCTTTTTTTCTGTCTGCAAACAACAGGGTCCTGTGTATTGACATAGGCAGTTTTCAGTATGCAAAACTGCACCACACTACGAGTCCAACAGACAATCCTAAATTGGCTGTCAATATAATTCTGTGCAGATATATTATTATCATGCAAATGTTGTCCAATTGCAGAATCACATCTAATGTTCTACACTGCATTTTGAGTTTTACAAGCATGGGCTGGTTATATTGCAAATAGGTGAAGGGACTTCTATTTGATGCAATCCGCCAGTCATTGGGAGGTATAGCCTATATAGTTAGTATCACATTGGCACTGAAATGAGTATGTCAAATTACTTGTTTGTGCCATAGGCAGATTCCATTTTGACTTGAAGACTGCAGAAAATAGCATTTAAGTTTCTACTGCACAGTAGTGGGGTGAAACAGCTAGCTTCACCTGATGCTTAAATTTTTATGATATCTTACCCTTCCAGGACAATCTGAGGTAAACTGTGAACTCTTCAGGACAAAAAGTGATAGTATCTAATCATTGCGGAATGTTGTGCAGAAACTGAAACAGATGAGATAGGGCATCACAGGCCATTGTGCCTGTAAGATCTTTTGATGAGCCCTATTTCAGAATCAAGCTTGCACAGTCACCAAATGGCTTGGCTATATTCATGAGGGTCCCGGTAAGGCCAACCTTACAGCACACAAAACTGTAGGAATCCCAATGCATATATTGACTAGTGAAGATGGGCTCATGGTAGACAGTAGTAGAGAGCTCCCTAGCTGATTTGTCAATTAGTACATCAAGGAAACAAAGCTTATTTGATTGCTTGATTTCAAAAGTGATTTGAATACAGGATGAAGCTCATTAAGACATGTAAAGAAGTTTCTACATGCAGTTGTACATTCAAATATAGCAAAGTTACAAACTGGATTCTGGAAATATGCAAAACGAAGTTAGGTGTCCTTCCATCAAAGACACATTTCTCATGCCACTCAAAAAAGGTGATAGAACAGCTGGACCTAGTGGGGAGCCCATGGTAATACCATTTATTTGGGCATACAGAGTGCACTTAAAACAGAACTCAACTGTGCAAGTTACTGAGTTCATAAGTTCAAGGAATACTGATTCATACAGCGGTGGAAGGTCTCGATCACGACGATATAATTCTGCAGTGCAAATTTCAATGGCTTCCTTGAATGGTACATTGGTGAATAGACCAGCAAATGAGCATATGGACGCTATATTAATATCAATATGCAAGTCCTGTATGGATTTCACAAATGTGAAGGAATCCTTCATAATGTAAGTGGTTAAAGCTAGTTGTAGAAATTTGCCCAACCATTTGGGCACTTCATGTTGTGCAGAAACTGAAACAGATGAGATAGGGCATCACTTGTGTGTGATAAGACATAGGAGTAGGAGTAGGTCATCAAGTCTGTCCTGCTTTTTGATTAATTCATAGGTGATCTGATCATTCTTGATCCAATTTTCCTACCTTTTCCCTATAACTCTTGATTCCCTGGCCAATTAAAAATCAAATCTACATTTGCATTGAATATTCTTGATAAACCAGCCTCAACATCCCCAGCAGTAAAGAATTCCACAAACTATCCTCTGACAGAAGATATTCCTCTTAATCCCTGTTTTAAATGGGCAACTTCTTAATCTGAGAATACATCCTCCAGCCTAGCCTCTCCCACATGGGGAAACTACCTCTTCACATCCAAACTGTCAATCCCAATCAGAGTCTTCTATGCTTTAATAAGATAACTTCTCATTTTTCTAAATTCCAGTGAGTACAAACTCATTCTACTCAACTTCTCCTCATAAGAAAATCCATTCACACCCAGAATCAACCTAGAGAACCTTCTGTGGACTCTCTCCAATGTCAGTATATCATTACTTAGATTGGAGGAGCAAAACTGTTCACAGTATTCTAAGTGTGGTTGAAGTAGAGCCTTGTATGGTTTTGGCAAGACCTCCCTATTTCTATACTCCATTCTCTTTGAAAGAAAGGCCAACATTCCATTTGCCTTCCCTATTATTGCTGAACCTATATGCTAGCCTTTTGCAATTCATGCACAAAGACTCCCAAAATTCTCTGTGCTGCAGCTCTCTTCAGTCCTTCTCCATTTACGTTAATATTCAGATCCTTGATTCCTTCTGTCAAAGTGCATAACCTCACATTTCCTCAGATTATATTCCATCTGCCAAATTTTTGACTACTCACCTAATCCAGCTATATCCCTCTGCAGACTACTTATGTAATCCTCACTACTTGCCTTCCCACCTATTTTCGTGTCATTAATAAACTTGTGATAGTACAATTTCTTCCCTCATCCAAGTCATTAATATATATTGTAAATAATTGTGGCTCCAGCACTGATTCCTGTGGCACTCCAATAGTTACAGCTTGCCAACCTGGAAATGGCCCCCTTATCCCAAATGTCTGTCTTCTACTAGTTAGTCAATGCTCTAGCCATGCTAATATATTACACTCCAACAACATAGGCACTTATTAAGCAGACCAGCATGATGTAATGTATAAAACATCTGTTGGAAATCTGAATACATTACAACTACTGGTTCCACTATCACCATCCTGCTATTATTTCCTCAAAGAATTCTAATAAATATAACAGGCATGATTTCCCCTTTATGAAGCCATGCTGATTCCATTTGGTTATATTGTGTATTTCTAAATACTCTATTAAATCTATCATAGGCTAACATTTTGCCAAGAATAGATGTTAAGCTAACTTGCCTATAGTTGCCTGTTCTTTGTGTCCTTCCTTTTTAAATTAGTGTGATACTTTGGCAGTTTTCCAATCCTCTGGTACTTTGATAATATAAATATTTTTGGAAGATTATCATCAGTACGTCCACTACCTCAGTAGCTACTTCCTTTAATACCCTCAAATGCATCCAATCAGGTCCAGTCATCCAATCAAACTTTCACCTCATTAGTTTCCCTAGTACTTTTTCTTTCATAATAATTATTGTCTTTATTTCCTTTCCCACCTTTTCCCCTTAATTATTTAGTATTTTTGGAATGGTATTTGTGTTTTCTACCATGAAAACTGATGAAAAGCATTTATTCAACTCCTCTGTCATTTCTTGGTTCTCCATTATTTCCCCAGCCTGAATCTCTAACAGCCTAAGTTCACTTTGGTCTCTCTCTTCTTTTTAATAAATCTAAAAACGACTTTGCTCTTAAAGCTCTTTTATATTTTTGAAAGAAGTTCTTTTTTCTGATGAAGGGTCTAGGCCCGAAACGTCAGCCTCTCTGCTCCTATGATGCTGCTTGGCCTGCTGTGTTCATCCAGCCCTGCACCTTGTTGTCTTGGTATGACTTGCTAGTTTATGCTCAAATTTAATTTATCCCTTTTTTTGGTCATCTTTCATTCTTATCTGGAGTCCAATCCTCCAACTTACTAATTTTTTTTGTCACATTTTACATCTTTTTCTTTCAATTTGATGTTATCCTGAATTTCTCTCATAAACTGTGGTTTATCCCTTTCCTAGAATCCTTCCTCATTGAACTGTAGCTTTGTTGTGAGTCATAAACAATTTTCTTAAACATCTGTCAATGTTCTTCAACTGCCTTTTCTGCTGAACTCCTTTCCCACACCACGCCAGCTAACGCTCATTGCTTTGCAATTACCCTTATTTAAGTTTAACACATTTGTTTCCGATGCAAGCTTCTTACGCTCAAACTGAATGCTGAAATCAAATATGTTATGGTCAATGTTTTCTAAGGGATCTTTAACTCCAAGATCATTCATTAAACCTGCCTCATTACATATTACCAGATCCAAAATAGCCTGACCCTAGTTGGTTCCACAACATATTGTTCTAGCAAACTGTCTCAAATTCACTCCATTAATTCTTTCTCATGGCTACCTTTATCAATCAATGTACATAAAGATTGAAGTCACCCACAATTAATGTACTTACCTTTTTATATGCCCACATTATCTCTACATATGTTCTCTGTCCTACGGTATTGCTAATGTTGGTGCTAATAGACAACTCCCACCAGTGTCCTTCTGTCCTTGATATTTCTTACCTCCACCCTTATGGATTCTACATCTTCCAATCCAAAATCATTCCTTGCTATTGTACTTATTTCATCGCTTACTAACAAAGCTACCCCATCCCACCAATCTCTTTCAGCCTGTTCTTTGAAAAAGTCTCAATCCCAAAAATTTACTTCTCAATTTTGACCTCTAAGATTGTACCCATTTACCTCTATTTGTTCTGTTAATTAATTTATTTTGTTCTAAATGCTGTTTCAGTAAAATGCCACTAATTTTGTCTTTTTAATCATGTTGTGCCACAATTTGCTGCTATTTTTCTATGTTTGTACACTCCATTCTAGCATCA